CTTCCCTTCTTTACTCACTTTGTGATCGAAAGAAGCCTAAATCCTACAGTGGGTTGATAGATTATGTAGTAATATTAATAATAATAAGAGAGACAGAAAAAGATATATATATATGCATGTGTGTGTGCGTATGATATATATTTATATATATGTATATATGTATGTAAATGTATATATTACATATACATTATATATATATATATATATATATATATATATATATATATATATATATATATATATATATATATATATATATATATATATATATATATATATATATATATATATATATATATATATATATATATATTATATATATATATATATATATATATATATTTATATATTATATATATATATATATATATATATATATTATATATATATATATATATATAATATATATATATATTATATATATATATATATATTAATATATATATATATATAAATATATATATATATATATATATTATATATATATATATATATATATATATATATATTATATATATATATATATATATATATATATATATATATATATATATATATAGAGAGAGAGAGAGAGAGAGAGAGAGAGAGAGAGAGAGAGAGAGAGAGAGAGAGAGAGAGAGAGAATGACAAACCGCAAAAATTCTCGGCATCATTTTCATATTCTCAACTTAGGAAAAAAAATAAGTGTACTCTAATTATATTGTTAATTTTTTAATGAAAATCAGAGCTACAGTATACAAGTACAATGTCACATTCTTAAAGACACGTAGATTTCGGATCTCACAAACATTACATAAAAATTCATTGAAAAAAAAAACTATACAGATTTGTGATGAAAACCTTAAGGGATGAATTTATTATAAAAACACGATAATAAAATTTTAATTCATTAGTACATTAAAAATTGGTAGATAAAAATGGTACAGATATATAAATATATCCTCTAAATAAAGTGATTTTGGTTGATATGTATCATGTACACTCATGATGACTTTGAAGTGAAGTTTATCGTAAGGAAAGAAAATAATATGAATTTTTAAAAACATCAACAAATGATTATAGAAATGACGAAAAACAAAAATAACTATATCGTGGAAATTAAATACAAAAATGAAAAAAAAAATGAAAATAAAATGACGAAAAAAAATATTAATTACCCTTATAATAGAGGAATTAATTAGTACAGTACAAAATAATATGTAAAATGGGAATACACAAGTATCATCTAAACTATATACAACGGACAGCCTCCTGTAGCCTCAACAGGTGCTGTCTAAATAAAAAATAAATCAATAAACCTGGTGCATTAGACATTCTTAAGGACGACAACCAGACTTCAGTGCACAGGATAATGAACTTTATGTACAGCGCACCTTTTGTGTACATTGTGCAGTCCAATAATTCACCGACTGCTTGTGGAGGCTTCGAGCTCCTGAAGAACCGACAAAATGCATTATTTGACGGTTTCTTAAAATGATGGCGAATGGAGTCATCAGTAAGTCACCATAAATAAGTCTGTCCTCAACGGTGATTTTTATATCCTTCAGGGCGCAAATAACTTAACTTTGTTGAATACTGAGGCTTATTATTTTCTTGTTTTCCATTGTTCTTCGCAGTGAAATACACCAGAAAAAAATCAAAAATACTGTTTACAACCATCTGACTCGCCAAGAGTGAAGGTACATTTTCACTCCCTTTTGAACAGACAGACAGAGAGAAAATATACATAACGATAAATTGAACCTAAATAGTACAGATGGACATTAAGAATAGTGGGAAGGGGGGAGGGGGGGAAGTCACTTACGATTCTGAATACTGGATTTACAAAAAAAAAAAAAAAAAAAAAAACACGGGAAAGGGAGAGAGAGAAAAAAAAATTCCTTCAAAATCAAGAAGGGTAGAGAGCTAGCTGCTAGAGCCTGGATGTAACGAAATAGAGAAGTGAGACCTGAGTGCCGACCCTTGTCATACACGTGACAACACAACACATTTCCTTTTATGCGTAACGGAAAGTCTAAAATCAATGACGGCGAATAGCAGAGAGAGTACGTGTAATATGTAATTTTCAAGTTATTTCGGATAAAAAGAGAGAGAAAGAGAAAAAGAAAGGATCTTGAAAAGTAGATATTACAGGTGAAATACCTTTCATATTACCTATCTAAACCGACAAGTGATAAACTGTATACAAAAAAAAAATGCCTAAATCTTCAACAAACCAATGAATTATCGTGTGTTTTTAGAGCATGCCAAAGTATGGAAGTACAGAGGACTATGTACATCATCAAAAATATATATCTAAAAAAAAACAATAAACAACTCGATGCGTTGGTCCACTTTCAATATATTTTCTAAATGAACCCCTTTGTAAGTGCATGAGACATAAGGGGACACAAATAGGCTATGCTTAATTAAGTTAATATTGTTATCTTCACTTCATGCTAAATATTCCAGCTCTCGGAATTAGAACCTAAACATTGTTTCTTTTTCCTCCATGCTAAATATTCCAGCCTCGGAATTAGAACCTAAACATCGTTTCTTTTTCCTCCATGCTAAATATTCCAGCCCGCGGAATTTGAACCTAACATCATTTTTTTCCCTTCGTCGTTAAATAGCATAGCTCTCGAAATCTGAACCTGCCATGAATATTTTTCTTCAACACGATCTATTTCAGCCCTCGAGATTTCAACCTAATGTCAAGAGGGAGGTCACACAAAGCTGTCATTTTTTTGATCCAGGTTAAGCAGTGATTCCTAACAAACTATATCATCAATAAACTACACTGACATAAAGACAAAAATATGGAGAACACGAATGTACAAAACTTTGAAGGCAATTTATCTGTCAGCAGATGAGAATATTTTGTTCAACAGTTACAGATTACACTATTACTGTCACAATAGAATAAAATAATCTTAGCCTATAAATATTATTTTCAAGTAACCGCCATCATGATAAAGAACAAACATAACAGCGTGATATAACAAAGAAGTGTGCAAACGTTTAAAAAAAATACTTTGTGATAAAAAGTCTTTCGTTAAATGTCCATCGATAAAATGGCATGTGATTCATTAAGTCTTTGGGGCAGAACATCTTCCACTAAAGAATAAAAAAAGAAGAAAAAACACTATATACAAGGCGGTATTATACATATTGGTAATACCTTGGGTTACCTTAAGAGACTGGTACTTGAGCACCTGTTCACGTGATGTTGAGCGACCTAGTGCAACTCGCGGGGGAGAGTTAGTGCCCAAAGAGACAATGCAGAAATATGAAAACAAATACAACCCTCTTTTTGGAGACCAAAAAAAAATGCGACTCGATTCGAAAGTCCGATACTGGTATAAGAATTTTCCAAGCAAAATGAGCACATCATATCCCTTTCTTTCAAAAAATCCTGTAAAATTCTCGGGGATGAATCTACAGACACTCGCTGATCACTCGCTAAGAAGAACCAACTAAGGTAGCAAGCAAAATGCCCTACTGATCGGGGCGCACAGGGTGAGGTCCTCCCCGGCGCCTCCTCCAGAGCTCACGAGGTAGATGCTAGTGTCAGTGAGGCGTCTCAGCGAGAGTGACCTCCTGGATGACTTCACCCAGACCTCAACACCAGCTGACAGGCCTTGGATGCGCGTGTGGTGGCTGGACTGGGGCCTCTGGGCACTGGCTGACGGGTTGTGGGAGTTGGGGCGCCTGTCGCGGGGCCCTACGAGCCGGTCGCCGCCGCCTCCTCCGCCGCGACGAAGGCCGGGGTGAGGGACAGCAGCTGGGAGGCGCCGTTGAAGCAGGCGGAGTAGAAGGCGGAGGCGGTGTCGGTGGACAGCAGGCACCACACGCCGTACATGAGGCACAGCTGCACGATGCGGTGGAGGACGTGCATCCGCGTCATCATCTTCTTGGCGAAGGGGATGGTGGAGAGCTCCTCCTTCATGATGTACTGTTTGCAGCCCTTCTGGTACGTCTGGATGTACGTGTCCCAGTCGAGGTCCTTGACGCTGAAGTGGTAGAGGTCCTGGTCGGCGGGGCTGAGGGACCGCCACAGGGCGTTGGTCTTGGACGTGTGGAAGGTCCAGTCGCGCAGCATGAAGTACTCCAGGGCGCTCACGGCCTTGACCATCTTGTTGCACAGCTTCACGGCGCTGCAAGAGAACACGGATCACAATCATTAACCATAATTGCCAATTCCATCTTCATTATCATCAGAAATCCCCCATTCCTCCTCCTTTCTCTTACTATTCTTACTTTACAGACGACAGCAAAGTAGACGTCCACCAAATTAAACTCAATAAAACGAATGACCTTGAAAACAAAACCCAATGAAACGACCCATTAAAGCGACCAGCATTGAAACCACACCCATTAAAACGACCCCCACAAAAACCACCCATGAACCCTAGCCTCACCTCCAACGACCACCGCTTTATAAAGGAAAATCAACAATCATCACAAGAAAAAAAACAGAAAGTGACTTACATGGGCTTTCTTCCAAGGATTCTCATGATGGTGTCCGCGATGTAGGCTGGGATGATGTTCACCGCGTAGACATGGAGCTGATGGAGGAATTTGATGTTCTTAGCCGAGCCGTCCGGGTACCACAGGGGGTAATTGAAGGGGTATTTGCGCACCGACTTCTTCAGGTGTTCTGCCAGTTCCTCGATCGTCAGTGGCTGGTCTGTTCCGGTTGAGCAGCAGTAGATGGGGACGCTCTCGGGCCTGGAAAAGGGTCGGGGCGCGCTGTTACTAACATCGTTTCATGTACAGGTAAGTTATTATAGATAATAAGAAAATAATATAATAATAATAATAATATAATAATAATAATGATAAAATCTCATAAATATATCTGAGCCAAAGAGACTAATATGTAAAACAACAAAAATATCTATCTATCTACTGTACCTCCCAACCTATCTATCCATACCCCCAAAAAAATAAAATAAATAGATAAAGAGATAAACAAAACACACATTAACAATCAACTAAATCAATAATCCCACGACCAA